GAAGCGGGGCCAGAGTGGCCTGCAGCACTGTGTGCCTGCCCTGCAGTGCGAAGTGGGCTTGTGAGGCTTTTTACTTGGAAGCAAATCCCAATGTAGACGAGCCTTTAGTGGTACAGTGTATGAACGAGCTTGGGGATCGAGCCCAGTCCTCCAAAGATCCTGTGTGTAAATTTGTGTAACGTAGCATCAGCATCTCTTGCGTGCCTGTGGTAGGAAGTTGTGATAGGAAATCACTGAATTAAAGATGTAAGAGTGTAATGCTTGGCGGAGTTCAAGACTTGCATCCACATAGAGAATCAGAGCCCTTTTGAAGCACCTGTTCCCTGCATTTTTAAAGCATTCCTTGAGGCAAAACATCAGTGTTAAGAGGCTGCTAGTGTGCTGTCAACAACTTGCTTTATTATTTAACAACTCTTTTCTAGAACCAAATTTAACTTGTGAAGAAGATGAAGTTATGAAGGCTGGAGGGAACCAGAATCTGTGTGTTCCTAATCCTCAGGTATGAAAACTGCACGCTATTGCTTTAAATTTTTATTAGAGCTTTTGTGAAGCTGCTTTCCTACTTTGGGTAATCTGCTAAAATACTTACCGCGGTTAGTATTTTCAGGAATTAAACACCTTTACATTTTACTTTCTGGTGTTTTACAAAACCAGCTAAATTTTCTAAAGCAGTCAAAAGCAATAAAAAGGGCTGTTCATCTGTCATACAGTTTTCAAACCAAACAGATGGTCTGACTGTTGTTTGGAGACACAAGAATGTAATAGCCATGTTTATAAAACTAACCACTCTGCCTAATAGAAATTTCTCTGCCAATTCTGACACACCAAAACTTGTTTAAAGGTTGATTGAAACTTAAAATGCAGGTTTATCACTCAGCCTTAGAACTCAGTCTATATTCCCTGCAGTTAGCAAAATTTAAATGTGGAGGACTACTTCAGACACAGGTCCTTAAAACAGAGTGGTCCTAGGTAACCGTGAGTGACTTACTGTATAAAAATAACTGATGCTTTGATGTGTCAGGGCTCTGACACATTCAGCTGTGAATAGTGCTGTTGACTTCAATGGTTATATTCCTGTATTTAAAATTCAGCTCAAGCGCAGTGGTGAGCAGAGCCAAGCTCTTTGCACACTGCAGCACTGAACCCTGCTGTAGCCTCTAATATGTATAATTTTTACTGCTGTCACAAGGCAACATGTATTTTCCAATTTTTAGGTTGATCATTTGGCAAGTAAGACGTCTGAACTTAATGTGTCAGAGAGCAGGACAAGAAGTGGAAAGATATTTCAAGCCAGCACTGTTAGTATGTTTTTATTCTCTAGTTCTGTTCTTTCTGTTTCTCTTCATCTGTAAATCTTTTTCTGTTCCAAACAGTGAATAAGCTTTAATACATTTCATGTTGACAGAATGAAATTCTCACTACTTCTAAAATTTCCATTAGATTCAACACACTTGGATTCTTACTGTCAAAAAAAAAACCTGTGCCAAAGAGTTAAAAGCTGAGTGGTGATGTGGTTAACACAGGTTGAGAAAGATTCATTAGGATTGATTTATGTCTTTTTGAGAATGCATTTAGCCAAATTCCACGCTGGTTTAATCCGTTGTTGATGGGAGCGTGTGCCAGCAGACATCCCCAGCCCGGTGTACCATATGCTTGCTAGTGATTTTACTGGGAAAACACGAGGCCAAAATTCTAACCTCAGCTCTATGACTCACTCATACCAAGAAAAATCTGTTATTTCTTTGCTTGATCCTGTTGCAGCAGATGAGTCTTGTTATTGGTGCTACTTGGGGAGAGCCACATTCCTCCAGCCTTGCACAGGTCGAGCAGAAGTTGTCTTCAGGGTGGAATTTGGCCTTTGGGGGTGGCCTTGGCTCCCACCTGTCTACTGCTGCTGCTTTCACCAGCTGAGCTTGGTAGCTTCAGCTTACTGAGCCTCTGGGGGGCCTTCACAGGACCTCAGCATCTCCCTTGTGAAAAACCTACCTACTGGTAGGTTTTTCTCAGAAAAAGCTGTGGGGTGAACAGTACCATTCTAGTAAACAAGTAAGCGCTCCTCATTTACAGTCAGGAGAGGGAATTGCATGTCGGGGCCAAGGAAAATCATAGCCTTCCTGTCCCTGCTCAGGAAAGCTCTTCGTTAATTTTTAGTGCAGTAGTTGTATAAGGATTTGTAATGTGCAGCTCAGTCGTTGCCAGTAGTTTTCTCTTTAACTAATAGTTCCTTTATTTCTGTAGAGGGTGGTAGAAATCAAGCTTGGGAGCACGCACAATTTATTCCTCCGCAGAATGTTCTAAAGAAATCCAGAAGAGAAATTGGTCTGTGTCTTAAAAATATCTGTGTATGAAAGCTGCATGTGAAACGGGCTATCAGAGTTTGCAATAAATTCATGAAGCAGAGATGTTGGATTCAGAATATAGAACTAGTAGACTCAATCTTCTTGTAAAGTACTGCTTACCGTGGAATAGAATTTTTTTACTTCCAACCCCAGGATCATAGGCATTATTTTCTGTTACTCACTGATGTGGAAAAAAAAACCATAACAACCAACCCATCATTCTGTGTGCTCACTATCACCTTATCTTTTTTTTTTTTTAAAAAAAGGTTTTGTTAATGAACTTAGAATCATAGAATCATTAATGAGCTTAATACTAAAGTTTAAACAAAGCACAGTTGCTTTAATTAATCAAAAGCACAGCAGAGCTAAAGGCTGAATTGTCATTTTTCACACATGTGCAAGTCAGGAATAGCTGGACTGCCCTTGGTAAGGGGAGGCCGTGTGGTGCTGAGCCCTCTCCCCTCGGCACGGGGGGCCGTACTGCTGGGCTGAGCCCTCCTGGTGCTGCCGGCTCTGCCTGGTCCCCGCCTGGGGCTGTGGCTGTGGCTCCTGCTCAGGTGTTGGGCTTGAGGAGTGCTGCCTCTGCGGAGGGGGCTCAGCCTTCCTCACCTTCTCTTGGCGCTGTGGCACGCAGGAGGTCCTGCCTGGCATAAACACAGCCCAGCCCTCCTGCAGGAATTTGGAGGGAGGGCCGATTCTGCCAGAAAACAGCATCCAGCTGTTACTCCAGGCTCAGTGCCTCTGGGCAGGGACCAGGTGATGGTGAGGTGGAGCCTGATGCTTGATGCGCAGCTCTCGATGCCTCACGCAGGGTCTCGCTCAGGGTGGGGGTCTCTGCCCAGATTGAAGTTGGTAACACCAAGGGGCAGGTGGCAGTTGCGGCTGGGCAGCAGCCTGTAATGCCGTATTTATTTTCCCTTGGCAGGTTCATCAGTTTGAGCTCTCGTCTAGTCAAGATGTGCTGCCCAAAAGGAGAAAGATCAGTGAACCAAAGGAGCAGTTTTAGATACCCAACTCCCTGCAGTATGTTTACAGAGTTCTCCATGCTGCTTCTAGTTTGTTGTTTCATGTGAATGTTTGTATTTAGATAACTTTTAGGGATCTTTTCTGTTCTGTTTGTAATCAAAATGGGGAGTAGGTTAAGGAAAGATCTGTCAAGAAGCGCAGCTGCAGAAATCAGAACTTACTTTTCATCCATACCCCATCAGGGAGGATGGAAGGAGAAGATGCCTGTAACAAAGGTGATGTGGGGGATTTGACTCCCTGCTGATGATGTGTCAGTCCTGATGATGACCGTGTCACGGTCACTGCATGCAGCCCGGGTGTCTCCGCTACCTTCGGCTCTGTCTCAAAGCTGAGGAGCTGCGGGTGCCTCAGGGGGCTTCCAGAGCTGTACCCACTGTCAGCTGTTAACAGCAGGGCTATGTTTTTGCTTTTACTGCTGGGGGTGTGAGGGGGGTTGATTCTCTGCATTTCTCCAGGCTGAAGGCACCAGGCTCGTGTGACAAACAAGCGTTCTTCGTATCCTCTATTCTATATTTTGTGCCAAAACGCAGGGGTTTCTGTACAGCTGTGCTGTGTGTGATTACAAAGTATTAATCGATGGCAGGCATCTATTATAGTGGTGTGAGATGATTTGAAGAGACCTGTATGTACTTGCAGTGATTAATTGCAGCAGTTGCACATGGTGCCGTTTGTGTTGCTGACCAAAACCTGTTAATTGTTCCCGTGCTGTAAATGACCGGGGGTGAAGCCGTTTCCACACGGTGAAGGGCTGAACGCACGGGGGGGGGGGGGGGCCTGAACGTTTCTTGAGGGGTTTGACTTTTAATTTAAGGCTCCCT